ACCTGCAGGAGGAATGGCATCAGTTGGGATGAAGGTGATGCATTATAGAGCCGCACGGACATCCAGGTACATGATTACCGGTTTTTTGCATCAAGTCCAGTCGTTTTTTCGGTAAATGCTCGTTTTGTGAAAAAATGACAAATGCAAATTTTTTGAAACATGCAAATTTTCAGTTCATTGAAAAACTGAAAGTATTGCTCGAACGGTCATTTTTCAAAGAATCCATGTTCATTTGCATATACAGTTGCGGTTCAGACCCGAGTCGCTAAAAATGCACGTTCACTTGCACGTGCAACTGCGGTTCAGGTCCGAGTTGTTAACGATTTTTAGGTTCAGGAGCTGCTTGAGACTGTGGTTGGGGGGCTAGAGGGCTGAGTTTAAAATTTTTATCTCGCACGTACATAGAGAATACCCTTGCAAAGTTTCAGCCTTCTACGTTGCCTCGTTCGCGAAATCGTTTCCCGCCAACATATTTCTTTGGGGGTCTCGTACGCAGGGAGGTCTAGACGCATATGGGGAGGATGACACGCGGGGTAGGAATATATATTCAAAATTTCAGCCTCCCAGCTTTCCTGGTTGCTGAGATGAAGGTGGGTGACAAAATGCGCTCGCTTCCAAACACACACACATACACAGTCAGCCTCTCGACACTATGAGTTTTTGCTGGCTGTAGCAGCGCTATAGTGCATAAAAACTGCATCCTGCAGTTTTACCACACACAGCGGCATATGGAAAGATGGGGTGTTCCATATGTTACAACTATTGACGATTTCAAGAATAAATTCTTAGCTTCGGATCACAATTTGAAGAAAGTTCCAGAAGCCTTTATGTTTAAATAACTTTCCAGCTCAGTGCGACTTTAAAGCACACCTGCATGACCTAAATTCACAGTTTTCAGCGAAGTGGCTCAGCTCTCATGTTTTCAACAGATTATTAAATTGGTTTACGATTACTTTTCAGACTGGTAAGGGTTCATAAAATCAGCTCGTTGCTATATCTGTAGGTGCAAAGATTGCGGATTGTTGAAATTATGCATTTGTGACAGACCTCATTTGAATCTTCACGAACTTTCAGCAATACGTTTCACACTTTACTCAGTTGGGAAATGCATTTCATTTATTTTCTATATTCTTGGAATGTACAGGAAAATAAAATCAATATAATTTGATCGAAACTGTGATTGTTTTCGTTGCGCTTTTACAGGCGACTAAAAGTTTGTACGCTGGGTTCACCATTATATGGCAGATTAGAGTGACGTGTTGCTTCTGGGATGCTATATTCACGAGCAGGCTGTCGTTTTCGATGTCGTTTGAAAAAGTGTGCAATCATTGAAAGACACTGACACTGAAACAGCGAATCAGTTCATCAAAAGCACCTATTCAGTATTTTTACAACGATGATAAATGCATAAATGGCACTGTTGACTTTGTTCTCGTCCATCATAATTTCTCGTCGTCCCTTCTCTATTTCTGCATCTTTTGTAGTTCCTATCGTTTTACTTGCTACACTATTGGTGGCTGCCCCATGAATTCTCTGTTTTTGTGTGTGTTTGCGTATATGCAAATGCAAGAACGCATATGGCAAGAGGTTGACTGTGTGTGTCTGTGTGTTCGCACTTTTT